TACCCACTTTTGTGAGGACCGTTACAAGGTTGTAATTCGCACTGTGGTCATTCTTTGTTTATTGTAATTACACTAACAATGATTCCAGTCTATAAATCTGGAATATAATTACATTGTCCTCAATGAATCATTCACAAAATCTCAGAGAGAGATATATATGTTCTTATCTGGCAAAAATATAAATAATCCTATACTCATGCGAGAACTCTCTCATTAGATAACTATCGCTAATACATTCGAGCTGTAACCGACAAGTATGTTTATTTGTAAAAATAATGTAATATTATCACGATAGCCTATTCAATATACTTTACCACGACTGCTAATGTAACAATTAACTCAATACCGTAGCGGATCCACAGATTTTGTGGGTAATCTATGATGGCTTCGAACAGCCGGCCATCTTGAAAGAAGATGCGGAATAGTGTGCCAATCTGATAGTAAGATGGTATGAGGAGAAGAAACTTCGGATGGTAGCTGCTAAAACACAGACCATCCTCTTGAGGGACAGGACTGATAGGGATCACCATATTTCTATGGTTTTCCAAGGATTAATTATATGTTCGAGAACTAGCGGATCCAGGATTTAATTTTGGGGGAGGTTTCAGCCCGATAGCTTTTTTTTCATAATAATAACGATAATTACTTCGGAAACAAAGAAAGAAACTAACTACCTATGGTGTTTAAGTAATTCCTAAATTCATTTTAAATGTAATTACACAAACAATAATACTTTAAGAGATAATTTTTAAATATTTTTTTCCATAAAGATGGTTATATTTTACTATTTTGAGGGGAGGAGGGGGCTTCAGCCCCAAAGCCTCCAAATAATACCTGCTAATACCTACCTTGATGTAAGAATTAGTAATGGTGCCATTTAGGCGGAGCTGTGATTCTGTCACAGTGACAGGCGCACCAAAATCACAGTGACAGTAACTGTAGGAGCTGTGAAATCACTGTGCTCCAACAGTGACGTCACCGATTTTCATTCACTCTTTTATTTATTGCTTGATTGCCATTTATTTTATAGCTGAATTATTTTTCAAAAACGTAAAATAAATTTCCGAAATAATAACAGTTCTGAAAGAAGTTCGAAATTCATGAATAGTGAAAATATATAATAATAAAAAATTGTTACTATCGTTAACTTACTTCTCTATTATCACCAATACACTCAAACCAACCAATCACCAGCAATAACCAGTCAATTATAATCAAATAAACTTCTAAAATCATTTAAGTATTGCAATATAAATGAATTTTTTAAAATTTATTTATATCATATTTACAACTGTATACAAAAAATACATCTAGTAAATTCGCACATGAATATGATGACATGAAACACATTTTGAGAAACTACTCATTGGTAGCACTCTAATAATATGTCTATATTAGGAGATCACGGGGCCATCTTCGTTTCAGACGCCACGGAGGATTATCAGGAATAGAATAGGAAGCGAGGTTAGAAACAAAAAGATTGGGATGGTTATGGAAGGACAGATATCTGGATTGGGCCAAATCTGATACATAAGGAACATTAAGGTCATTATGGATGATTTTATTTGTAACAAAGTAGGGAGCATTGAGGATTTTACGAAGGATTTTGGATTGTAATGATTGGATACGAGAGGAATTTGAAGATTTAGTGGAGCCACATAGCTCAAAATGAAAATTGAATTTCAAATTAAATAAACTCAAATATTTTCGGTAGGGCTGTATACAGGAGCCAAGGGATATTTTTCAAATATTAATTTATCAAATATTAAATTTATCAGTGGTATCCTACGTTCTCATTAATAATGAATGGAACAAAAACATTGTTTTAAGATAATTACCTAATTATTATATAATATAGAAGAGGTCCTATTTAATCCTCGCCCTACCCCAAGTTTAAAAAAAAAAATATGTACATAATATAATGAATGGAACAAAAACATTGTTTTAAGATAATTACCTAATTATTATATAATACACAAGAGGTCATATTTAATCCCCAAGTTAGAAAAAAAATTATGTACATAGTATTATCTATTATTATTTTAATATAAATTTCAATAGGTAAACTGTCATTTCACAGTGACGCTGTCTCCAAGGAGCCGTTGTATACTTATCACCGGAAAAAAATCACTGGAGTGCCAAATCACTGTGATTCGTCACAGTGATTTTCCCAGAATTGTCACTGTCGGAGCTGTGACCGAAAATCTCTGTCACATCCCAACACTAGTAAGAATTGGAAGAAATTTCAACGTGACACCCCACATGGACTATTTCGGAAGTAGGGTGAACCCCTAGCCCATAATGGACTCAGTCGTATGGGGGTTGCCTTTTAGGGTCTCAGGTACACAGCACTATTTATAAAGATGTAGTTCTGGGTATTCTGAACTATGCGTCCCTTGGTTGCTATCTGAATTACCACAGTAGATTACGCTATAATTCAATGACATGTCGAAGATATGGGAACGAGTATGGCATCCATCTCAAGATGTCGAATGAATACCCGACCAAGCCTGGATCACAAGCAGTGGGTACTTTATCATTCGAACCGGACCTATTAGCCTATTCCATTAAAGGAAAAAAGAACCTAATGGTGACCATAGCGACCTAGAAAACCTGAGGTTGTAATGGGCACTGACCTAATGCCCGATGGCTGAGGGTAAGTAGGTAATAAGCCTAATATTACGTAAGGCGTTGCCCCACCTGGGAATTGTATTATTACACGTGGTCCTTGGGGTATTGTCAATGGCCGCTGAGGGAATGGTTATTTTCTAATAACGAAGAAATGCCTTTCTAGAAACTAAAATTCGGACCTGCGCACTTAAAGCGAGGGAATTGTTCAGCATTTAATCCTCTTTGTAATGAGCTATTATTCAAAGTTGTATCTTAACGAGACGGCTTTTTATTTATTATTTTTTTAAAGTTTAGTTTAGCTCAGTGTTGGACTCACGGTAAATGAAGAAAAAAAGAGGAAAATTTTCACTGCATAAATAACAATTGAGGAAATATAATATGACTGTTTAAAATATACATAATATTATTATGTATATTATTACTGTAAATAAATTCATTAGGCAGAGGAACTGTGTGATTCTGCAACGATTATCCTTTTATTTTATTTATTTTTTAATATGAAGTTATAAGACGCATAAACTTTGTTTACACTTTTGTGCTTTTAGTTAACCTTTAGCTATAGACAAACATGGCGATGTGATCCTGATTTTCCGACTATTACTATCCTCAAGTTCCCTTGAGCCGCTGAGGAGATGGCTGGGATGGTATTAAACTGGCATTGGCTTCTGCAAGGATCTCTTTTGTCCTGCTCCTGCGGTCATTAGGATAACAGATCCTGTCTCCTTGCCATCGGCCTCTGGCATTCCTCTTAGTGATGCTACAGAGGAAAATATCGAAGCATGCTTCCCAACCTTTCTCTCCTTCCCGATAAATAACACAGATAATTCGGCATTACTTTTCAATAAATAAAGTTTGTTCAATAATGGCCACTTTACTGATAACTTAAAAAAAAAAAAAATTGGCAACCGAGCCAAGATGTATTCGTGGAACATTTTATTTTTATTTATATTTTTAGAAAAGATAAAAATATAAATAATTAACAATAAATAAATTAGTACAGCCCTACTCTATTGCTTAGACCGCTACGGGACGGGTTCGATTCCCGTATGGGGGCGGTAACCTAGAGATTCACATGAAGGTAAGAGCGACCCTTGTGTCTAATAACATGGCTCCTTTAGTCCTCCAGATTTTGGGGGTTGGGTAAAGGGCTAATAACCTGAACCCGTACATAACAATGACAGGATAGAGACGTTATGCAAAAGGATGTCAACCATCCTGATGAAGAGGGGCTGATTATAATCGCGTATGGTTATTATAAACCACGTGCTACCTGGATATCATCTACATAAGAAGAGAACCAAACGATTACAGCTTATCTTCTAGAACAGTCCCGATGCTGCGAGAAATCTAATGGCGTAATTCAAAAGAGTCAAGAATCGTTAAAAAAAAAAAAGGTTTTTTATTTTATGTTTTGAAGACCTTTGATTACTTTTAAAAACAAACTTCATATTATTTTCTCTGCTATCCAGCCTCTTCGGCTATACGGAATTTCCTGGGTCAGAGGAGAGTGCAGGGGATTAATACTAGAGTTAAAAGGCATCCGAAAGTTGGACTGTATTGTCGAAGTCCTCCTAGGCTGACCTGTGACTTAGTTTTCAAATTTCTATTTTCGGATTCTGTGTGTCTGGAAGGGAAAAATCTGTAATATTGATAGGGTTTAAAATTCTTGTTTTTTTGATCGATTACAAAGCTTTACTATTGATAATAAATTTGAACAAATGGATATGTCTTAGTGGACAAGTTAAATTATTTACACCACTCTCTATTCTTATGGAAAGAACGGAAAGAACAAAACGTCTATTATCAAATACCCATTATTTAATTTTTGTACAAAGCGACAAATAATTGATTTTGAAATATTACAATATTAGGTTATTATTTACACTATAGAAATAGTAAATAATCTATAGTACGAAACAAGAAGAGTTTCTAATTAGTCCGTGGTACAGTCACTTTTTGTCAAATTATCTCCATCTCATCGTAATCTACAAATATTATTACTTATATGGTCATGAAGAGTGATAATTCAGCTTTCCAACGGTTGGAGAAACATTGAATTAGGGTGAAAACCTTAGGAGTTATGAATGTTTTAGTTAACGGCAGGCAAAAACATCATAAGGAAAGTCAAGTCGTTGTCATGACGACTATCTCAGCACAGTTCTTCTATCCTTTATATTATTTCTAAAAGGTGTTTTTTGGTCGGTACGCCATAACTTCGTCAATTCTTCATCAAATCCAATGCACAATACTCTACCAATACTCTACACAATCTATACACAATACTCTACCTCATCTTTCGACTACAACATTCTGTCACTCCGTAACCCCTACCCACCCTCCCAGAATAAAGTCAATGATTGATTACTCACCTAAGATGTACATCATGGTGAAGCAGTTGTCGAAGGCGAGCCCGACGGTGAATCTGCATAGTGCGAACAGCCAGAAGGAGGAGGAGAATGCTGTGAGGACTCCGCCCAGGAAGCCTATGAGGTTGGAGCCGATGAGGGCGGGTATCCTCCCCCAGCGGTCGGCCACCCAGCCCCAGATCAGACCTCCGGCGATGGCGCCGACGAAGAACAAGCTCTGGGCCACCGTCGGCAGGGCAGACTTCTCGCACACCCACTCCAGCTGCAATCGAAGAGGAACATATTAATAATTATGTTTAAAAAGTATATACATGTTAATAACAAAAAGAAGTCATATAGTATAATTTAGTTGGGTTATCAATAAAAAACTTGATTTGGTTACACCTTAACATTATAAAAATATTACTTCACCAAGATTACACAGTAAACACAAATGTTGAAAGTGATATTTTAGAACTTTTAAACAATACCTAAACGAATAGAATACCAACACAAATGTAACGCAACATCTTCTTCTTCTTTGTCTTCCTCTTCATGGCATGAGGAGCCTCTATCGAATGCAGCTATGCCTCTCGGTCCCTACTAAGCCGCCTCATTTCCTGGAGGGTTTTGCCTCTCTTCTCTCCAATCCGCTGCATATATTCCTGATAGGAAATTCTGGGGCGGCCTCTCAGCCTCCTTCCAGTGGGTCGAGCTTCCAGAATCTTCCGCCGATCTCTCTCCTCCTCCATCCGACAAACGTGGCCAAACTACTTGAACTGTCGGTTTTCCAGTAATGTCCTTAGCTCTGCCACCTCCAAGTCCTCTCTTATGCGGTCATTTCTGAGGCGGTCTCTCCTGGTCTTTCCAGCAGCTCTCCGCAGAAACTTCATCTCGGCTGCTGTGACACGGCTAACCTGCTTGTCCAGCATAATCCAGCTTTCGCTTCCATGCTTGAGGGTTGGGAGGTATACCGACTTGTATGTGTGCCTTTTTGTTTCCTTGCCTTCCTTGGTGCTCATAGTTATTTACGATTTGGAAATTGGAATATAGAGACATTGACAAGAAAAGAGGTTGAGCTAGTGGAAGAGATGAAGACATATAAGGAGTACATACTTGGGATCAGCGAGGTGAAGAAGAAAGGAGTCGGTGAAATGAAACGGGACAGTGATTACGCCCTTATATATGCTGGAGTTCCTCAAGGAAACTGGAGAAAATCAAGGAAACGAAGGAAGGAGTAGGTATAATTATGACTCCAAAAAAAAAAAAAGAAAAAAACTAACGCAACATCGATAATTAGAAACCCTAATAAACCTAACCAAACTAATCTTATAAATTTGACTCGAAATAGAAGGAAATTTAAGGAAAGGAAAGAACAAAACGTCTATTATCAAATACCCATTATTTAATTTAAATACTAAGCGACAAATAATTGACTTTGAAATATTACAATATTAGCTAATTATGTACATTATAGAAATAGTGAAGAATCTATAATACGAAACAAGGATGGTTTTTAATTAGTCCGTGGTACAAATCCCTTTTTATCAAATTATTAACATCAGCCTGAAACTTCGTTAATAGCTTCATCTCATCGTAATCTATAAATATTATTATTTATACGGTCTTGAAGAGCGATAATTTAGCTTTCCAACGGTTGGAGAAACATTGAATTAGGATAAAATCCTGAGGAGTTATGAATGTTTTAGTTAACTCCAGGTAAAAAAATCATAATGAAAAGTGAAGTCGTTGTCATGAGAACTATCTCAGCACAGTTCTTCTATCCTTTATATTATTTCTAAAACGTGTTTTTTGGTCGGTACGCCATAACTTCGTCAATTCTTCATCAAATCCAATGATTAGCCACTAATTTGTATGATATTTTTCTCCTTCACATGCGAAATATAATCATATCCCCCGGAATTCCAGGGAAACAAGTTATGAAGGAAAAGAAACTTTATTTTTTGCGAATAACTCAAAAAGTATGCACTGTTTCTTGACTGTACCTATGATAATTAGAAAGATATCCAAAATCCTTGTAGTTCTCTCTTTCTCTCCTAATTTGGTACGGGGTTAAAATTATCTTCTCAATCTTACCAGCTAAGTATAACGTTATAAATTGTAGTAAAAAGACAAAATTAATGACAGAAACGGCCATGAAGTCGACAATACAGACGTTTCTGAAATAAGTTTAAGTATCTCAGTATCCTACAGTATATTATGAACATAAATATGAATGAAATATTTTTAACAAAATATTATTCTGGCATTTGGCCATGAGAAATAATTTACGTCGAGATTTAAAGGAATGACGCAATAACACGATTGTTTCTCTTTATTTTATAATTAAAAGAAAAAGAAAAACTGCCAAAATGAGTCGACTCGATTTTAATTATGTAAAGAAATAAAAAACGCCAACTATCGACGTAACTGGTTTTTTATTTGTTACTTAGGCACTACCATAAAATTAAAAAAAAAAAAAACGCATGTATTGATCTGAAATTCTCCACAACATATTTCACTTTTTTATTATTTAATTTTATTTTTCTACTCTCAATAGACGGTTTCAGGGTTAATAGCTAAAAGGGAGGTCGACCAATCCCTAATTATATGAAGGATGGAATCCACGCATTAGCTCGCGGACTCCTTTAAGGTAGAAGTAATTTGGATTTTAGTCTCAGGTAGAAAAAGTTGTTTTGTATTTTACTGTATCGAGCTTGTGAATACCTGAATAAAATTAAATCGTTTCTCATGAACTGTAACTCTTTTATTTATTCGAAGTGGATTCAGGGTTTTTGTGGAAGTTAAGAGGAAGATATTTAAGAAGTAAATAAATTACCACAGAAAAAAATTCCATTTCCATGAGTCTAATCAATTTTTTGTAACTTATTTGAAGAAAACTTTTACTCATAAATAGTTATAATGTACGACTAATTTCGTTGGAAAATATTTTAATAGTTTTTTTGATCTAGGATTATTTGTTAGAAACAAAAATGCTATTATAATTATATCTAGTGTTGCCCAAAATTGGCCTAGGTTTTGCACTTTGCAAGACCAAGACCAAGACCGCTAAACTGTTGCAAGACCAAGACCAGGGCGGGTTAGAAAAAAAGATTTTTTTAATAAGAATTAAGGCAAAATAGTTACTAATACTTGGCAATCTTAGTTACTATATGTTAATAATTGGTATAACCAATATATTTTTGCATTTAACGCCTCTAATTTTTCATTAGGGCTTAGATAGGTTTCTCTTATCTAAAAAATTACAGTAATATATTTATTGTAATAAGCTAATAAGTAACCGCATGACTGCTGCGAGACTCTTGTGCAAGACCAAGACCATGACCAAGACTGAGTTCACATTTGGGCAACAATAACTGTATCCAACAATTTATACTCCAGAGACATTAACGGGCCTACAATTCAAATTACAGCCCAATCTATCGACGTATTTGTGGTTACAATTGCTCAGAACCCGAAAATGATTTAAAATTTATGATATCTCTAAGAAAGTTACGGACGGTAAGTCGTCTAAGAGTATCGGGTAGTACCATCTGAAATTGCTCCATGGGAACATTACATACGTCATAAATACAAACGAAGCCTGCAAGTGGTGCGGCAAACATATCAATAACGGTTTAAAGCACTTGATGCTGGAGTGTTTGTTTCTGGAGACACATAGAAGGAAATACCTACGTACTACATAATAGAGACTGCCACAGATGATTTATCAATGGAGTGTGTGTTGGATATAAAAAATCTTGACCAGTTGAACAAAATATTTTATTTTATTTTAAGTGTTTGTCACCCCCATACCAGACTGAAACGACTTGAAACCGCCCGACGTTTTCGACTACTGCAGCACTTACTAGACAAACGCTCTAAGCTCACAATCAATTACAAACGACTCATATATATATGACAATAATAAGACCTATTTGGACCATCGAATTTCTCCCGTGTCCAATCCTTACAATCCAAAATCCTTCGTAAAATCCTCAACTTTGTCACAAATAAAATCATCCATAAAGACCTTAATGTTCCATATGTTTCCGATTTGGCCCAATCCAGATATCTATCCTTCCATAACAAACTGCAGAACCATCCGAATCCTCTTGTTTCAAACCTTGCTTCCTCCTCGATCCCTGATAATTCTCTGAGACGTCTGAAAAGAAGATGGCCTCGGGACCTTCTAATATAGAACTTTAATATGAGTTCTACGAATGGGTAGTTTCTCTTCATGTTGTACATGTCATGTTACCAATGTCACATTTACTTATTGTATTTTCCATGTAATACAGTTGTAAATCTCAATAAAATAAAATTTAAAAAAAAAATTGTTTGTGACTCTATCAATACAAGTACAAACCCTCAGCTTTAGGTCAGGCATGCAATACTATTTAATTAGATACTAAAAGCTCGTAAATAACCATTTTCTTTCCACCATATTCGTAAAATAAACTTAGTACGAAATCGAGAAAAAAGTTAGTCTTCAAAATTGTTGAGCCGTTTGGCGTGACCTACACCGCCAAATTGTCAAAATAACGACGTCATGTAGGACAAACGGCCCAATATTTTTTTAGGCCATCTTTTTTATCGATCTGGTGTTAAAGTTATCTCATGATTTAAGCGGAAAGCAAATGGGTATTAACGAGTTTTTAGTTCCTAATTAAATAGACAAAATTTGTCCTCCTCCAGATTGAAAACGTCCCAATTCCCAGAGTTTTCGTAAATAAAATAGTCGTAGATTACGGTGAGACGAAGCTATTTACGAAGTTTCAGCCGGTTGTTAATAATTTGATAAAAAAGGACATGTACTACGGACTATCGGCATTTATTAAATAAATTATCCGACTGAACATATTTTAGATAGCCATTCAAAAAAGCATAGTGTCAGTGTTTTGTTTATGGCCGATCAGCAAGTTCATTTCCGGTGAATGATGAATGCCCTTTGATCATCCTTATCTTATTCATTATTTATGAAAGTATATCATATCTAAAACTGACGTTTTACATTTAATGAATGAACAGTGCAGGATCTACACATATTTAAAAAAATAAATATTAACTAGCCCTAATTAAGCAGAAATTTAGTTATTTAAGTAAGGCTAGATGTGAATTTGTTTTATTTATTTTATTCTCATTCAGCTTTAATCTATTATTTTATTTATCTTGTAAATATGTATATTAATTCTCTTTATCTTACTTACTTTATCTTTTTATTTATATAAACATATGTTTTTACTTTAGTTATTTATATTTGTTTTCCTTTCGTATGCAGATATTGTGTGAATGAATACTGTATCCCAAGTATCAATGCCCTTCAGACTGGCAGACTGTATTAATACTTAATAAAATCACTAAAATATTTAATCAAGGTGGCACTGGTGGGAGAATTTGTTCTGCAGGTGGATTTTTTCAACCTCTGACCTTGAGTGGAAGTGTCAAGATTCATTTTTCGGTGGTGTCAAAAATAAATTCAAATCGAATTGAATATTTAATAGTTGACCATTGCATTATAAAGGAAGGAGATGGTCCGGGGTTGCGGTCATAAATAGGCTAAATAGTGGTAAAACTGTTTTTATTAAAAGCCGACGTTTGCAGGTTTTCTTCAGGACTAGAACGGACAAGATACAAAAAGATAGAGAATTGTGGAAGTTACATAACATTTTGACAAAATATTATTATTGTATTTATTGTCTAAATATTATGTAACTTCCACAATTCTCTACTTTTTTGTATCTTGTTCGTTCTAGCCCTGAAGAAGACCTGCAAAGTCGAGTCCAAACGTTGGCTTTTAATAAAAATAGTTTTACCATTATTTAGTCTATTTATGACAGCCACCCCGGACCATCTCCTTCCTTTATAAATTCAAATCGCTAAAATAATATATTTTAAACCAATGCATTGTGAGGATAGCTGTCGTATTTTATTATAGAGCAGAAATATCAGTTTCAACATACGTAAAGACAACTGAAAACTCAGCGAACTACTTCACTTGCACATTAGCGCTCTCTAGCTACAGATTGTGTTAACTCATAGCCCCCTGGAGCCAGAGCCCAAAAATCGACCTGATCGCAGGCGAAGTTTTGATTGTAAAGTACTGAAGTGTATGTTATTCTGAGTAAAAAGAACCTTGTCTGCCGTTCCAAAGCCGCTGCTTTAAAAAATGGCGGCTGATTTAGAGAATATTAGGCTAGTAATTTGAGGATCGAAACGAGAAATCCATTGCGAAAATGTGATGTTTATTTATGTTTTTTTAACTTGTATATATGGGTTTAAACATGTAAAAAAAAAAAAAAAATGCTAACGCGGGCCATTAAGAGAAAACTTTTTACAACCAAAAAAGTTTTTTTACCTCTAAACGATGGATCAAAGCGAAAAATGTATTCTCTAATAAATTAAATTTGGCGTCGAGCGAGTACATAAACTTTATAATTTTGGTACACGGTAAGGTTTAAAACCACGGTCAATCAACGCTGATTTTTACCAAATTTGTCAAAAACTGACGCAAATTACTATAAATGGCCCTGTGACATGGAAATGAGTTTCCTAACAGGAAAAACCGATAGAATCAAAGTTGTAGAGCATCAAATTTTGCGTCCACTGAATACTAACTAATTAGATATACGTTATTTACTCCGAACAAAATCGGTAATTTCCTGATGTTCAGAAATTGATACTGAAGGTAAAATTGGTTTTCAATATTTCAACTGTTTTGGTGTCTATTCTATTGAGTTATTTCTGTTTAAAGTCTTTTACATGCAGTATGTCTAAACCCATATATACAAGTTAAAAAAATAAAAACTTTTCTCACATTTTTCTCAATGGATTACCACTTTCGATCCTCAAATTATTGGTCTAATAATCTCTAAATCAGTCGCCATTTTTGAAAACAGCGGCTCAGGAACGGTAGACAAAATTCTGTTTACTCAGAATAATATAAACTTTCGTAATTTACATTCAAACCTTCGCATGCGATCAGGTTTTTGGATTTTTGGGCCCTGGCTCCAGGGCTATTACTATCACTTACGTTAAGGTATTGAAGAATTCCACAATGCCCACAGTATTCCATACGACCACCATTTCCTCCTATTACCACGTTTTGAAATACAGTCACTAAGTACTTTGACCTCATGCGATTATGAAACCTTGTTATTCTATGTTGTGAAACAAGTTTTTTTTTTATTATTATTATTTAGGCAGCTGTGGTTGAGAATAAAATAAATAAAGCGACGCGAGTTGCATAAGTATTACGATTTAATTGGCTCCTGAATTGGTCGCTATGGACTGGCGGATTCAAATAGCTCTTTGTTCTCTAAGAACCGGATCTCGAATGGTCAAGGAAGGCAATCTGGTAAGCAGCGTTCAATTGGCAGATTCAAAAACATTTAATCACATGTCACTTAAATGTCTTCCGCGTTATATTCGTCTCGTCGAAGGACGACAGGTTCATTAACCTGGAATTTCAGCTAATAACGCCACAGGTGATCATCAGGCGGAGTATTTCCCGAGAAAAGCGTCATGGCCGTAAGTGAATGTTTCGAGTCCCATATAGTGCGCCTATTAAATCGATTTATTATTAATGTTATTCATAATTTTTTCCAAGAAGAAGTTAAAACTGTTAACGAAACCCTATATAATGAATTCTAAATGCTTTTCACAAAATGTTAAATAAAAATTCTTCACAGTAATTATCATATATATTTATTTTGTTTGTCCTGTTTGTTAGACTTTATTTGTTCGTGCTTTTAATTAGACTGACTTTAAAAAATGCCCACGTTTCGTCACATATATTTAGGCCAGGTGTATGAGGAAAGGTGTCTCACTGCCACTTCAAATATTTTTTTCATTCTAAAAATAAGTGCATAGTTGTTCTTTAAAGTTTCTTTTATCCCATAATAAACTATATGCCCAATTGAAAAGGTTTTTTTAATCTTGCTACCTCAAAGATTCCTGATAATCCTCCTAACCGCCTGAAAAGAAGATGGCCTCGGGGCCTTCTAATCTTACATCCGTACATATATTATTACAGTAAGGCTCGAAATCGGTTTTGTACCAAATATCAGCTCCTGTCATGCTCTAATTCCATGAATGGGGTACCATTGGATTAAGAATTTCACAGGGGGTTAGCGAATCGTATTCTCCACATTTTTTTTTTCTTTCTAAAATAAATAAAGTCGATACAAACATTTTGCTAGGCTTCAATACTTGAACAGTGGTAGGTCTGTAGATCGATACGGGACAAATTGGAACTATCGGATCCTGCGTTTTTAAGCCCCAAAACTTACTATTTTCGAGATAACGCAAGGCATGGGGTTCGCATCCATACAACCTTACATTAATTGTAGTACTGTCATTGAATACATGTCTCATTTCGTCCACTTGAGGTCTCTATGATCGAGAGAGGAGGAGTTTATATTATTTATCGATGGTGTTTTTGATCGGTAAGCCATATCATCGTCAATTTTTAACCAAATCTGAAGATTGAGCCACCAATTTCGAATGCTTCCTTCTCCTTCAGGCGGACAAAATAGTTCAATCATCCCGAAAATTCAGGCAAACAAGTTATAAAAGAAAACAAACTTTATTTGCGAATAACTAAAAAATTACACACTTTTCCCTTGGTTATGCCCATGATCATATAAAAGATTACTAAATCGACTACAAAAGGGGAAAAAATCATCGAAATCGGACTATTTTAAACAAAGATACAGCTTACTGAAATTTGTGAACATGTTGATTCCAAACAAATACGAAGATTTAAAATAATTTTTGTTTTCTTTGTAGATTATATTTATCGATAAAGTAACATTCGATTTTTTTATCTTTTGATAGGTTGTATTATTTTATTTTCTTATTAATCTGGCATTTGATATCAACATGCTGTGTGAATTTTTCGCACGGGCCTACTAGTATAGATAAAAGCGGTATCGAATATCGATGGTCATTTAGACGCCTTCTTAAAATTAAATGATTTCATCCATTTCAAGACTCCACAGAGTTAATTTTATTTGTATTTATTTTCTTTTTAGCTATTATAGGTTTATGATTGAATGTTTTTATCCAACTCCAAGACTATAATCGAAACTATCGATTGTAAACTAATCGAAATACACCTGCCTTCAATCGATCTCCTTGATCTTCGGCAGATTCGCGAAGGTTAGATGTATACGCACAACGCGCAAGGTGATAGACCGCTCTTCGAACAAACCAAACCGCTTCGTTGCGGTCGACAGAGGTCGCCAAAGTCGATCAGATTCTGAACGATCCATCGGAAGGATTTTTATTGTCTGCAATGTTCTTCGCCATTGAATGTTGTATCGGAGTCTATATTTTTAAACTGCCCTTGAACATCAATTTTATGTATCAGCATGAGAAGTGCAAAGCTCAGTTGACTGTTCCCTAACTAACTTACTCCTCAACAATCAGCTAAGAGGTTAGAAATTTGTGAAAATTTATTGAAAAACTCCTGCCTCTTCCACCATACAGTCCAGACCTCGCACCATCGGATTACTACTTATTTAGATCCATGGCCCATTTTGTTCAAAGGAAAAAAATGATAATTTTGCGGGAGTTGAAATTGCGTTCTTTGGCAGCCATCCCAAAGAATAGTGTGCGTGGGATCGAGCAATTGGCTACCAGATGGCTGGTAGCTGGTGATAAAAAATGGTGGTAGCTAACAATGGACTATAATTTGAGTATTAATTGTATTTTATATCAAAGAAATAATAATACAAATATTTGGTTGAAAACATTTTTTTTTTATGCACCCTATTAATATCCCGTGATATGAAAGCAAGGAGGTTAAGATGGGTAGCTCGGAGCAATCCACCAGAAAGCCTACAGTAATGAATGCCTCAATGGTTATCGAAATACCACGTGGAAGGCCAAATACTTAATTGATAGTTCAAATTTGCGCTGTATGCAAACTGAAAAGCAACCGATCAGGATATGTAAAGAAAGAAGAAGTCTAGTTTGGGCGTCTAAAGCTCTTTAAGTTATCTGAAGACTACTGAAAAAAGTAACATATGGAGAGGATGTACTGACCTCTGTGGATATAGTTTCATAGGCCATTTCGTTTGAGTCGTACTCCCACCCGCTCTGACATCTCGTCTTCGGCCACGTCGCGTCCGGTACCAGGACTCCGGAGGCCAAGACTTCGGTCCAGTTAGCGACGTACATGGAGCATTGCTCGTATCCACTACCGTCATCCTTCAACGGAATGCCCAGCTGCAACCTGCAAGAGAAAAGCAATAGATTTAAAAAAAGGTAAGCTTAAAAAAAATAGATATTGGGTAGAGATTAAGTGTGGAACTGAAAGTCAGTGCCATATTAACATTTTAAGATTAAACTTAAGGTAAATGTACACTTATAGAGAAATTTTCAAAATTTTTATTTATTTATATTTTATGCAATTTGCAATTTAAAAACAGCCAAAAAAGTAAGATTTTTTCGATATTTTTTGGGTTTTTCATCTATAACTCCTAAACAATGCATCAAAGCGAAAAATGTGTTCTTTAATAAATTAAAGAATGTCAAATTTTGCGTCAAACGAGTACATAAACTTTAAAATTTGGTTCCGCGGTAAGGTATAAAACCACGGTCAACCAACGTTGTGTTTTACCAAATTTGTCAAAAACTGCGACAAATTACTATAAATGGCACTGTAACTTAGAAATGAGTTCCCTAAGAGGAAAAACCCATAGAATCAAAGTTGTAGAGCATCAAATTTTACGTATATTGGGTGGTGACATCTTTATTGTTGGCCAATTACATATCTATTCTTCAAGGAGCTGTGTTCAGCTAGGAGTTTCACTTAGAACTGAAACTCCTATTCTAGTTCTAAGTTAAACTCCTAGCTGAACACACCTCCCTGAAGAAGGCCCGCAAAGTCGGGTCGAAACGTTGGCTTTTAATAAAATAGTATTGCCACTATTTAGCCTATATAGAAGCGCAACCCCAATTTTTTTTTCATAGCCCCTTTTTATTTATTTTTGTCTTTAAATATATTTTTAATTTACTTGAAAATATAAAAAAACAAACAAAATTATTCGAAGATATAATGTAGTCATCATAAGTTAATTACAGTTTTTATAATAAGCAATCATATAAAAAAAATTTAAATGGACTTTTTGACGTGCTGAAGCAATTAGGTGTTATTATCCAGTTTTTACTGGTTTCGCCATTTAGCTTAAATGTCAGATCCTTCTACGCTATACTTCCGTCATGCCACAAATGTGTACTCATCAATATTAGTCTCTGAAAGGAGGTAAACATCCCCCCCCCTCACCTTGTTTGTCTTTAGGCCTAGCTAAAAGGTCTATGTCTACAATATAGGATCTAGCGAACTCCATTAGGTTTTCGGATGAGCGAAACCATCAACGAAAATAATGTCTAGGAATCTAAAAAGGTCAATGGTGATAAGACGTGTTTAGGTTTACAATACAACAAAATTAGTCTTATATGATTCAGGAGTATAGGAATGTGGAAGCAAATGGGACAACTTGCCCCCCGGGCTTCGAGTGTAAATCTGGCCCATATTTTCAACGTTCGATTATTTTTTTCTTTCGTAGAAAAGTTTTCGAAAAGTCTAGAAATAAAAATAATTATGTATATACTGTAATTATGTATATGAAAATATAAAGAAAGAAAATCATGATTAATATAGTATTGGTATAATATTATGTGGAGAAATATTAAGAACGTAAGTGACGTAATGAAGTAAGTCTTGACATCCATCGAATCAAAGAGCTTTGAAACATTCAACGTTCTCTTCCATTTTTTAATTAACCTTTAATCTATATTAATAAAAACGTAAATGTTGGTTTATTCAAATCCGCTAACCTCCGAAACTTCTTTACCGATTGCTTTGAAATATTGACATAATGTTTCAATCGCATTCAGTAGTATTTTTATATACATTTAATCATCCTTCGGTCTTTCGTTTCGGAATGGCGGCCCAAAAACCTGTGTCGCTATAGACTGTAGCGCCTAAACGGCTGTGACGATTTTAATTAAACTTGGCTAAAGTCTTCTCCTTGAAGCCCTTTTAATTTATGTATATAACATCCTTCCCCAAAAAGAGTATGAAAAAAGAAGTTACGATGGGTTCAAAACTATATTTGCGAAAAACCCAAAAAGTACACAATTTTTGTTTAATTATACCCATCATTATTTGAAAGCTTTCTTGATTCCCTGCAAATAAAAAAAAATACTGAAATCGGACGATTCGGTGCAGAGATATAATGTTTTAAACATTTAATCATTTTTCTTGGGAGATTTAGAGACCGATTGCTTCTTATATAGACAATTATATGTTGCGAATTCTAAAGTTGGAAAACAAGACAATCTCTATATCTATACAAATAATGGAACAACAAAGAATATCGCATATTCACTAGTATTGTTACGTAAAATATATTAGAAATTTCTTTTCTACTTCTTTTTTTATTAAACCAGAATGAGCCACAGCAACGCTTGGCCGAGGTACATCTAGTTATTTATAAAAATATGAATTAATTTGAAGATTATTTCTCTGTATTTTTATTTTCAGTTACCTAGTTATGAAATATGTAGTAAAGTAGAGTACTACGATCATGAAAAATTTCCAAACCTAGTTTTGGAGTCCTCTGACTACAAATCACCAAGTTTCGCAAAATGGCCGGTTTGTATGCGGGCAATCTAGTTCCAGGTCACCAGGTACCAGGCCAAGACTGGTCGAAAAAAAGCCTTTTTGTGAATATAAAAAATTCAAAATTCCCTGAATGAAATTTGGCAAACCAATTTTGACAGGTTCGTTCGGTTAAGGCATCATCCCTATAAACACTGCAATTTTTTCTATGAGCTTCTACAGCACGCTTACCTTTTTTAAAATGATACAATAAAATATGCCGATAATGAATGATATTTTCTTCCATATTCACTGTGCAATAGCAAACACAATACTAAGCTAGCTTCAACAAGAGTTAACAGATATGGTTGTTGGCTTATTACAAACAGGATAAACAATCTGATTTAAGGATTAATTCATCAGATAAGAAGTGTATTATAAAAACATTAAAATAAACAGAATAACCGAAAGGATTTATTTGCCAACCCAATAGATTCTACGATAGTTAACCGTTACATCAGCCTTTGAAGATGAAAAATATTTTTTAACATAAAAAAACTTGAATGATGACCTCCATGAAGTAATTTTAAATACTTCCTCGTTTCACATCTACTAAGAAAATGTATGAAGATTATAAAATAATAATAATAATTATAATAGATGAGCAAATTATTCTCTAGATGGCATTGAAAGATCTCTTGAGATTGAAAGGGCACTGACACTAAATGACGAAACTGTGTCAGTAACGATGGGTTGTCGATTAGTGAATGTGTCCAATTAGTAGAGTCATGGTTGGATTCAGGAAACATATACCGTTTTAATTAAGTATATGATTGCAATTATCTTCAGTATTATATGAATATAATTATATGAAAATAGGAAAGAAAATTAAGATGTAAATTAAAAAAATAATTAATATTTTACATTGATCTCTAATATAAAAAATAGCTAAATATAACATATGAAAGAATTTGTTAATTAACTAAAGGAGAAATAAGAGTGACAGAGAATAGTTGTAATGAAGGAACCAAATGGATACGAGCTCATCCGAGAAGGCTTCCATGGTAACATGAGCTTAATATAATACGGATCTCAACAGTATTATATAAATTATGTGGTTTTTCTAGATGTTTTAGTTGGTATTATTTAATATTTAATTGTGTAGATTACTGATATATAAACATTAAAATTTGTATATATCAGGGTACTTAAACAAATAAAAATATCTACAATGAAGTATAAATCAAAATAGCGTTTACAAATTTTACTTTAACTTCTCCTTTATCTGAAATACTGTGATGTATGCATACATCACACAAATCTGAAAGTTGTGTGATGCATGCACCACACCAGATTTTCTAGATTTGTGAGAGAATTTTCTTATGATTCAAGAGGAAAGCAAATGGGCATTGGTGAGTTTTTAGTACCTCATTTAATTAATTACTTTAATGAGAAAACACTCCATTTCTAAGAATTTTCGTAGATAAAAAAGTTGTAGGATGTTAATAATTTGATAAAAAATAGTCTGTACAGCGGGTAATTAATAGGAGATAATGAGAATAAAACAAAAGTTAATTTTAACTAGCTACCGCTTGAGTTCGCCCTAGCGCTGACTATTTTCAGATGAGCTATAACAATATTTATGAGGGAATTATCGATGTTTCATTGAAAAATATCGATATTTATTGGCCAATACCTACCAGTGTTGCAGTTTATGGAAGGATCGACCAGCCTCGTACCACGTACATATTTTTTATAAATGAAGTTTAAATTTTTTTTAATAATTATTTTTACTGTATTATTATTTAAATTAATATTATTTTTTTTTAAATTTTCTAGAAAAAAATTGTTACCGTCTATTAAATTGTTATTTGAGAAAAATATTTTCGATTTTTAACGATTATAAAATAAAATATAAGAAAGTATATTATTTCCTTCATGAAACAACAATTTTACAGAATTCATTTAGATAATACTAAGTAAGCAAAATAAAAATAAAAATTTTATATTTATTAATTTCAATTGTATGCCATTATAAATGAAGTCGTAATAATGTGTTTTCGATTTATTTTTAATAATGATAGGAATATTGTATCCTTTAAAAATTGTATTTTATTATTTTAATTTTTATAGAAAATTTTCCAATTCTTTCTAAAAATGTATGCACTTTTTATATATTTAATTTCGTGAGTTAAATAAAACTCATTTTACTTCTTCACCCATTAACTTAACTTAAAAAAAAGAAACCTTATAAAAAATACTTTAATATATCTAAATAGAGTTAATAAGCAAAGCTCTGATCGAATTTTACTTTTAATAAAAAATACGGTATCTTGGACTATACTCGGACAAAAAACTCACCTGGAACATTCACAGTGAATTAAAAAAAACAAGACCTGACCAGACGATACAAACAACTGTCACATCTTTTAGACTACAGATCTCCACGCAACTTAGTAAACAAGCGACTAATATACACCACTATACTAAGACCTATTTGGACATACGGAGCAGAACTTTAGGGTTCCGCAAAACACATAAATAAAATTCAAACCACACAATCCAAAATACTCCGTAAAACCGTAAATTCTCCTTGGTTTATTTAAAATCACACCAGACATGAACAT